AGAGGAGGGACGAGTGGCCTCGAACACAACTGTTTAGTAGCAGTAGCCATTAGACTCTCTGGTTTCTGGCGGCAGTAGGTCTCTTGAGTTCGCGGACCCACGTTCGCCCTATCTTGATGAGCTTAGTTTCAGGGACAATGAACGATGACCCAAACCAGCGTGATGATAACGTCAATAAAAGTGTTTCTCTTTGTCCCTACACGAGCATATATAGTACCACATTGAAAACCCCACCCGTGACACGGCACTCGTACCGATAGTCGCTTCCTTCACCGCATACACAATTACAAGCTCGCTCACACGATTTTCTCACAGCGCTCACCACCCTGCGGCTCAACTGAGAATGCGAGCAATAGCCTCACCATTAGGAGTGGCTTTGCAAAAGTCGTTGGCTTCCTTCTAGAGAGTGCTCGTGCAAGCTCGTACTCCTTTCATTACTCAACATAGCTGCCTGACTGAATACGACTCCCTCACATCAAGCAATACGGCCGTCTGCGCTAGGCTGAAGACGTCAGCAAGGGACAGGCGCCCTCAACGCTCGATCTTAACCAACATTTCTCCCATACGATCTCCATGCAGCAGCGAGGCGTGACCTTAATCACGCAAGTTGAGCGGGAGATGAATGACAAGCCTTCTTCTTATCGTCCAAAAGTCAAACGGCGAGTCGACAGAGGCTGCTCTCAGTGACCAAAAACTGTGAGGACAGGGGAAGCATATTAAGGAAGGGTAACAACTTGCATTACGGGGTCACTCTTTCATCAGGGCGAGCAAGGGTCACATGTGAAACATTCGTTGCATGCCTGACACACACTTCACAGTCCCGTTCGCTAAACTGGCACAAGTGAAATCAGCATGAAACCGCTAATGTCAGCCAGGCGAGTCGCGCCAAAGGCTCCCCCATGCACGAGGTGGCAGTCCCTTGAACTCCCCCTTGATAGTGACTTCTCGCACGAGTGATGGCAACTTTATGGTTGGCTGACGGTCTTTTTTAGCTCGCAAAGTACTCCCTTCCCCATTCTCAAGGTTGCAATCGTCTCTGATGTTGTCGTCGCAAGATAGCCTCTGGTCACATAGTGTTCACCGTGTATGCAACGCCCAACATGCTGTCACACTGATCTCACACAAAACGGACAGGAGCTCGAGAGGAGACCCTTTTTCGCCCGGCTCACAAAAGGACGATCTCCCAACACGTGATGACAAAAGGAAGAAAACCCCTGGGTAAGTTGTGGACATAGCAGGTGACGTTAACAAAATCCCCGGGACGACCTCGTTCTTGCTCTCCCTTCATCGTAACGTCGACCCACCGACGCTCGCACTCTGGAAAGGTTTTCCTCCACTGTGAAAGGGTTGGGGTGGTGGGATCTCTTCTCCCCCGATACGTTTGCCATGGCTTACCAGACTCCCCAGTCCTGCAACGACTCCAGTCTGCCAATCGGTAGTCAAGCTCGTTCTATTCCGACCTTTCATTCAGTGTGTGTTGATGGGTACTCTTCCTCGTGGAGGGGTGCGGTGAGCCTCACGAAGTGTCTTGGCTGTCTGTATTAGGAGCGCTACATCGATTCCACCGCGGGAGAAACAATTTACCTCAGTAAGAATTAGGTACACTACCCACTTCTGCCCGACATTCTCTTCTTCCTGATTCGTGCCTACGTGGATCGTCCTAATATGAACTGGGCGATTGTTGTCTGCCTCTTCCCGTGCATACCCCAGGTTGAAGCCTTAATTACGTTAGAGCCCTTCTCTGACTCCACCTCTTATTGGTCGATCAACTCTCTGTGTGAGATCTTCACTCTTTTAGTAACTCTATCTTCTTACCGTGGTAATTTCCTTCCTTTCCCCGTCGCTTCGAGGTGGCATCATTAACCTACTATCATCATCGGATCCTCAAGAAAAGCACATGAATTGAGATTGCCCCTCGTGGCTGAGGTCTATGCACGTAGTATCTGAGAAGATACTATGAGACTTTGCGCTTCGTTCTCTCTCATAGCGTCTGGTGCGTATTGTGCGGTCTGAGCGATGCTCTCTCGCGTGGGTGTTTACCCCGTGAGTGAGCGTAGCACCCCTGAGCGAGATCGACCTCTACTCTCTGTGTGAGATCTGCGTAATAGCGAGCGTTTGTGAATTCGATCTCTACTCTCCGTGCGCGATCTTCACTCTTTCAGTAACTCCATCTTACCGTGGTAGTTCCCTTCCTTCCCCCTTGCTTCGTTGTATCATCATAGCGATTGTTGATTGTCGATTCGACCTCTACTCTTCGTGTGAGGTCTTCACTCTTCCAGTAACTCCATCTTACCGTGGTTATTTCCTTCCTTACCCTCTCGCTTAGTGCTAGCGGGTGTTTTCCCCGTGAGTGAGCGTAGGGCCCCTGGACCCTGATCTGCGAAGTGTCGGACGATTGTCGATTCGACCTCTACTCTCCGTGTGAGATCTTCACTCTTTTAGTAACTCCATCTTCTTACCGTGGTAATTACTTCCTTTCCCCCTCGCTTCGCTGTGGCGTCATTTAATCTACCATCATTTGATCCTCAAGAAAAGCACCTGAATTGAGATTGCCCCTCGTGGCTGAGGTCTATGCACGTAGTGTCTGAGAATACCTTTTGTGAAGGAGTGGTAAGAGTGAGCATCGCACCATTTACCGGCCCATGATATCTCAGTACCCTACCTACTAACAGCTGTCCTTGCTCCTGTTGAGAAGACATGGACAGATATACGATTTACCAGGGTCATGGACTGCCTGGGTAACCTGGCCTTCTCCCTCCCAAACGTGCCTCCTTACTCATGAGAGATCCTCGGTTACGACGACTCCGCTCCTCTACCTAGGCTAGGCTATGGACTACCTGAGTGACGCAGCTGCTGCACGGCAAAACCTACCTCCGAAATGAAGGCGAGCAACTCTCGGCGACGTATACACGCTAATCGCTGGCGGAGGTCCCGGAGTGCTACGCTGGTCGCCCGGTACCGCCCCTCACTTCTATTTTCTTTCCCCGCCTCCCATTCTTGGGAACCGGAAAGAAAAAGCACAAATCCTTTGCTAGTGGAACCGTGGCCAAATTGTGGGGGGCCGGCCCCAATTTTTCTTTTTTTTTCTCCAGGAAGTCTGTCCTTTTGAAAAAAAATAAAAAAATGAAAAGTGGCGGTGGTGTATCTACCCATTTTGAGGTAGAAAATTCATTATTGCACGTTTGTGAGTTGTGCAGCGAGGTCCGATATCTGTAGCAAAGGAGGCGGCGGAGAGGCGTGCGCGCGCGCGTCCGGTGCCGAATGATCCGCCGTGAACACCGTTGCGCGCGGGTGTTGTCGAGTGGCGCCGGCGGGCGGGCTGTCTGGAAATGTACTTGGTCGCAAAATCCGGCCACGTGGGGCCTTACCGTCAACGCACTCGGCAACGGCACTACAACGCACATCGAGTCGTTGCTTGGTTGTCGTTCATCATGGATCTAACGCCATGACAGAGATAGGGGTCCTAGGATCTTTGAAAAAAAAAAAGGAGGGAAAAAGGCCCGTAAAAAAAATTAGCATGGCCCCGTAAAATAAAAAGGGCGCAAGGACGACACTCATAAATCGAGACGAAGGAGGAAAAAGGTCCCCGTAAAATAAAAAAAAGAGAAGAAAAAGAAGATTGCGTATTGGATAGAGTAGGTGTCCGCACCGTCGATCGCGGGGATCTGAAGGCGATGGTGGGGTTTTATGGTATTTCTGCCTTTTTTCACCCAAAAACTGATTTTTTTTATTTTTTTATTTTCAAACTTTTATTTCTGGGCTGTTGTGGGTTACCATCCTACTAGGGTCATCACTACAGTACCCCAAGTGGGCGGTCCCACTAGCGCCGGAATGTAGACGTGTTTGCAGAGAGTTGCAGAAAATTGGGATTGATACGCTCTTCTGCATTTATGGGCTAAATCCGTCCAGTCGGACGTCGCCCCAGTGAGATCAAAGATGTTTCTTTGTGGGCACATAACTACGTGGTCGTACTGGCAGATCGGATGGTGTAGGGAGGAGGCTAGTAATCGCGGCCGTCGACTTTTCTTTGTTGGTTCCGTAAAGCAGGGTTCGTTGCCACCCTTGCAATACTGGAGCGGGGTGGATGTTCTCCACGGTAGTAGGTTGTAGGTTCTCTCTCCCAGGCAATACATGGCGGCGGGGAAAAACGTCTCTTTTCTCTTTTGTGCGCCCATTCTTTATAGTTATTGCCTGCATATCTTCCCATTTATGCGCTTGACAGCTCATAGATACATCAGTCGTTGCCGCTCAACTCTTCTTTTTTTAGTACCTCTCTCTCTCTCTCTCTCTCTCTCTCTCTCTCTCTCTCTCTCTCTCTCTCTCTCTCTCTCTCTCTCTGTSTCTCTCACGCGCGCGCGCGCGCGCGATAGACAATCCCCGCGCTCAACCTTTGCTCTGCTGTAAGGTCGTAGCGGTCCCGTCGGCAGTGGCGCGCACTGCGCGGTCTCGTTTCCGCGGGGTTTGGAGAGTGCTTGCGCGGGGTTATTCACAGCCAGTCTTGTCGTCCCTTCTGTGACGTGCTTCTCTGTCCAGCGGGCATTGTACCAATGCCACTCTGTCCGGCGGCCATTGTACCAAACTAAGCACGGAGGCCTTTGGTGTATGGTCTATGTCCTTCTCTTTACCGCCTGTGGTTGACGTCGAATTTTTGGCTGCTCCGCGTACGGCTCTCGAATGTTGTTTTCTTTCAGTCGACGAGCTTGAACGCTTCTCGAGGAGCTCATCTCCTGTCAAAGATCTGCTGGCGGGCGGGCGGGCGGGCGGGCGGGCGGACTGGATCGCCTCTGCTTTTTCTCCTCCTTTTCCCGCTTTTATCTCGGCTTCCCGCCTTTCGGCCTCTCGAGCCCTTGCCGCCGTTGCCTGGAACGACGACAGCTCGTGGTGACTGGCCACCATCGCGACTCTCCACGCCTCGCCCTGTTGCCTGCCCGCCATGCTTGCGGTAGATCGTTCTCCCTCGGGCGGCATTTCCCAAGACAGCTGCAACACTCGGGCACTGACTACCTCAGCTGCATTCATTCATCGCGGAAGAAAGGATTAGAAGCGGCAGTGGCAGGAGGGAGGAGGGAGGAGGGAGGAGGGAGGTGGCCGACAACGACTATGACAATGGCGGAGGCGCGTAGCGGCTAGCACCTTGTCGTCGGGGGTGGACAACTCTCCTCTCCCAAGACGCTCACTGTTTATTCACGAACGCTGCCTCCTTCCTGTTGGTCCTCCAAGGCTGTCGTGATCATCATCAGTGGTAATGTGATTTCTCTTTTTTCTGCGACCTCGCTGTTTGGTTGGCATTCTGAGGCTCGTTCATCATCGGCATATAGTGGCAGGTACTGTTACTGTTCGTTTTCACTGTGCAGAGCGGTGTGAAGTGCTCGAAACGAGGACGGAGTGGTTCTTCTTCTTCTTCTTCAATTTCGTATCCCTCTTTCTCTCCCTCTCTATTTTTCTTTCTCTCTCTCTCTCTCTGTGTCCCCAATCTCTCTCTTTAGGCACTTCGTCATTCGTCGAGATTCAGTGGACTGCCAGACCGAGAAGGAACGAGGGCAAGGAGGACTGTGCCCTCGAAAGTGGTAGTCAGTCAGTCTCCAACTTCGCTAGCTTTGCTTTAGTCGGTGTGGGTGGTACAACAACGGATAAGCTTTGGTGTAAAACTTGCAGCTGGTAGAAAATGGCGGTCGATCGCTTAACAGGGTCGTTTGCTCGTCTATTCGTTCCCATTTCTTCATCTTATTCTTTCTCTATTTGTCCGTTACGTGCTCGGCATTTGTGTTTGATTGCTATTCTTTCTGTTTGTTTTTACCCTTGCCTCGTCTCGAGTCGGTCTGTGCTTGATGACGGAAGGCGGGCACGAACGCCCACGGTTGTACGATCGCTCAGCGAATCTGCGGACTTCACCGAATTCGTTGCATTGTTGGAGGAGGCGGATGTTCTCTCCGTTCTAGACAGCGAGAACGTTAAACCTCTGTCAATGTTTGCCCCGACGAATGCTGCTTTATCAGCCTCCATGCCGCCTTCCGTGCGGTCCTACATTGTTGACCCGGGCAACATTGACTTGCTCCGGTCCATCCTGTTGTACCACGCCGTGCCAGGAGCTCGAATCCTGGCTAAGGACTTCGTCAACGGGTCCACATTCGAGTCTTTCCAGGGGGATAGCATCCTGTTAACGGTGGCTAACGGCGCGAAAGCGTTCGTGGAGTCTGTGGCAGTAACGAGACCAGACGGAATCGTTGAGGCGGACGGGGTCGTGCATGGGATTGGCAGATTGTTGCTCCCGTCCGACGCAGCTCGACGGCTAGAAGAAGCCGCCGCCAAATCCTCTTCCTCTTCCGACAAAACGCCGTCTTCGCCGGCGCAGTTGCATAATTCCACCTCGCACTCCTCGTCTTCCTCCTCCCCTTCTCCTTCCAGTGACGGATCCTCCTCCACTACAGAGTCATCGCCATCGCCTTCGTCATCCTCCTCTCCTTCTAGCGACGAAACCCCCGTCTCCGGAATGAGAGCAAGGAGGTCGGCTTCGGCATCGTCCGCGTCGCCGGAGAAGCCGACGAACGAGAGCTCGTCGGAAGTATCTGCGACTTCGCCGTCGTCGGAGGCCGAACCCCGCTCGCCCCCTTCGTCGGCTCCATCGCCCCCGCCGGCGAATGCTTCCACCTCGGGCTCGCCGCGCCCCCCATCGTCGAGGCCGTCCCCCGTCGCCGGTAATCGCACGTCCACCGCTCCGAGAAGTAATAACTCCACCGCGCAGGCTAAGCCTTCTACGCCGGCTGCTGCCACTACTTCCAACTCAACTGCCGACAAGCCTGCCGTAGCTTCCAAACCAGCAGAAGCATCTCCATCTAATACCTCAACAAGCCCTGACACATCTGCCACTCCTTCCAAACCACCGGCGGCAGCGCCTTCTACTTCTGAAGCGTCCTCGCCGCCGTCCTCTGCCTCTTCGGCGGTCGAACCCTCCGCTAATGCCACGTCAGACTCATCGGTTGCACCTACTGCCTCCCTTCCCGCTTCGCCTGCGACCCCGTCTTCGGCATCCTCCACGCCCCAGCCAGAAGAGTCCACGCCAGCTGCTGCTAATGCCACGTCATCTGCTGCTAGTGCCACGTCGGCGACGTCGTCGGCTTCTCTCCCCTCTGCTAGCGAGCCAGCTTCGAATGCGTCCGTGACATCGGAAGCTGCAGCTGCAGTACCGTCATCACAGTCTTCCCTCCCATCATCGCCTGACAATTCTACGGCCTCCTCCGAGCCTGCAGCTGTTTCCTCTTCAGCAGTCGATTCCTCTGCTGCTGTTGCAAGCACGAACACCTCCACTCCTGCCTCTTCTTTGCCTACCCCCTCCTCTCCGGCAGAGACCGCCAACGTGTCCGATGCCGCTCAGTCGGTGCCCTCTGCATCGCCACCTACTGTCAGCGAGATTTCTCCCAGTTCCACTGCCGCTGCGGGATCCGCGGAGGGCGTCGAACCGTCGTCAGCAGGCAGTACCAGCAGCGTTGCGGTGACCTCCACCGCAGTCACGGAAAACGTGTCTTCTTCAGCTGCTGAGCCGTCCATCTCCGAAGGCAGCACTAACCCCTCCTCCCTCACCTCACCGATCCCCGTCGCTTCCGAGCCTGTATCGTCCCTGTCCATGCCTACGGCGGAACCGTCCGCCGTCCTCAGCCGCGAGTCCGAGCCTGAGCCCACGTCCCCATCAACCCCAGCAACACCAACTCCCGCAGCCTCTGCGCAGTCCTCGGTCCCCGCCGCGCAACCGTCAGTTCCCGCTACTAGTATCCCCGTGGCTGTGCCCGAGTCAACCATCGCCGCCGCGTCTGTTCCTCCGCAGACCACGCCCGAGTCTCTTCCTACCGCTCCTGCCTCGGAAGCAGCTGCAGGCATCTCCGTACCACAGCCAGCCTCCGCCTCCACGCCACCCCCTCAATCTGTCGCTGTGCCGGCTGTGCGCGCGCCTCAGGAGGCTACCGTCACCCTGACACTGCAGGCGCAGCGGCCGGACTACACAGTAATTATGGACATGCTTACGCCTGAGTTGAGATCCCAACTGGACGGTCTTGATAACGTCACATTATTTGCTCCCAATAATGAAGCCTTCAGGAGGATGAACGAGACGTACCCCGAGGCGTGGGGCAGGATCTTCAACAGCAGCGATACCGATTTGACGTTCCGGCTCTCGGTGGTCCGCTACCACTTGACTTTGCAGTACCTCCCTGTCGCTGTGCTGCAATACCAATACAGCATGGCTATGAGGAATGTGACGACCGTGCAACAGGAAAGTCTGAGCTTGCAGTTCACCCCTTCTCAAGGCGGTAATCCTATTATTCGGGTGGGAGATGCGTTCGTAGTGGACCCCGATCTGCACAATAATATAACTAAATCTGTTGCTGTGGAGGGCATTGATCAAGTGCTCTTTCCACCGAGCGTGGCTGCCACTCTCACTAGGGCGGTTGCTCCGGTGTCCTCTCTGCCGGTGCCAGCTGGCATGCCTCCTGCTCAGCCCTCCATCCCGGCTATGCCGATGGCAGCTCAGCCTTCTGTCCCGGTAATGCCGATGGCAGCTCAGCCTTCTGTCCCGGTAATGCCGATGGCAGCTCAGCCTTCTGTCCCGGGAATGCCGATGGCAGCTCAGCCTTCCCTCCCGGGGATGCCGATTACAGCTCAGGCATCCTTTCCGCCGACTCAAATGCCTGCTCAACCTTCCTTCTCCGCCGCGCCGACTTTTGGCAACAGCGTCTTCCCTCAACCCTCCATCCCCCCTGCATCTACTGACGTAGGTGCGGTTCCGCGAGGCGGCATGGGAGTTGAAGGGCCGGTAGCTGAGGAGGGAATGGAGACTGCAGAGGCGTCAGCCTCGGCCTCCAGCCCTCTTACTGGAGGCTCGGCGACCGCAGCGGAACGGAACTTGCCCATGCTATTGTTCACTGTGCTGCTTGCGCTGTGTTTCTTCTATCTTGGCCCGGAGACATCCGCTCTCTTCCCGCTGTCATAGCCAGCCGATGATTAGTACAGCATAAATTATTGTAATTGCGTGGGAGAATAGATTTAAAAAGCGTACCGTGCTAGGGAGGGGGAGGCTGGGGTACTATATCTATCTCCGTCGATATGTGTACGCCCTTCGAAAGCACAGCTTCAGCAAGAGCAAGGAGAAGAAGCCATCATCCTATGTATTGCGAATGAGCGGCCGCAGCCATTGTCGAGTGTTCAAATCTCTTCTTCTGCTGAGTCCGCTTTCGGAAAAGCGGTTTCA